TCGTTTTACAATCATCAGCTGCGTTATATTGTATTTTAAATGTTACTTTAAGTATTAGTTACGAACGGAAAAATACGTCCAGGGTAGCCGAGTGGACAAGGCACCTGCCCGGTAAGCAGAAGGGTGTGGGTTCGATTCCCGCCCCTGGACACTTTTTATTTTTCCGTTCGCCATTACTCTTCATGTTTCACCTTTCCATACCTCATCCTCAAAGTTAGAAATGTCGCTATTTCTCTTTGAAAATAAATTTCGATTTTTATAAAAGAAACATTCGCGGTATAATTTCAATTTTCATTTTACAATCATCAGCCGTGTTATATTGTATTTTAAATGTTACTTTAAGTATTAGTTACGAACGGAAAAATACGTCCAGGGTAGCCGAGTGGACAAGGCACCTGCCCGGTAAGCAGAGGGTGTGGGTTCGATTCCCGCCCCTGGACACTTTTTATTTTTCCGTTCGCCATTACTCTTCATGTTTCACCTTTCCATACCTCATCCTCAAAGTTAGAAATGTCGCTATTTCTCTTTGAAAATAAATTTCGATTTTTATAAAATAAACATTCGCGGTATAATTTCAATTTTCGTTTTACAATCATCAGCCGCGTTATATTGTATTTATGAGGTTTGCCCTTTATATCTACTCGGAAATGAACCCATCCACGAAAAGGACAAATGGCCTCATCAATTGTCAAATTTTCATCAGGTGAGTACCAGGTTCTGAATTTATTGACAAGGGAATAAAACAAGCATCTTACTTAGTAAATTGGATCATATCCTGGTTGTCCATGTGGAATATATAGCATATTATCATTCAGATGGAGCATTGCCTCAAATCTTTCCCTTGCCATTCCTGTCGATTTGCAAAAAGCTGTTCTCATTCCAATGTGGTTTGACCAATACTCTCTTAGCCTTGGTTTTACTACATGGCTCATATGAATAATTATTGCCAAAAATATCATCAATTCAGCAATTGAAACAGCTTTCCACTTTGCCAACCCCCTAGGATTCAGAGGGCCTTTCTTTCTCTCTTTATCAATGGCCAATCTTGCCCTTGAAGTTGGTTCAAAATTCTGCTTGAGTATATTCCATGCTTCCTTACCATCATTTGCATCAGCAATAAGAGTTTGGTAACTTCTTTCCACACCTTGGTAGATAGTGGTGAAAGCTCTAGCTTTTCTCCAATTATATTCTCTAGCCTCTTTTGTTGTAGCATCTACAGGTAGTTCACTTTGATTGTCAATAATAAATTCCCAACAGTTTCTATCAATCAAAATGACTTTCATATCAGTCTTCCAAGTACTATAATTAAAAGCATTTAGCTTTGGAAAATTTAAAATAGAATCATTCATTTTCCTCCCTTTTTTCCTACTACAGCCCAGAATTTACCACAGATCAGGTAGAAGTTTGCTACTGGCCCATAACCCTGTTGTTGTGCAGAGATTTATATCTTTTTTAAAGAACATCTTCAATAAAATCAATGACTTCTTGTTATCCTAAAATATTATTTAATACACATAGCTTCCACACTCATTTACACATAACAAGCAACCCAAAGAAAAACCTCTATTCTCCGCATACAATTTTTAGATATACCAAACATAAAAAAAAAAAAACTTTTTACAAAAAGAAATTTGCATACACAACTTCTAAATCAAACAGCTAGAACAATTTACATATTTTCTCTTAGGAACTTCTAAAATTATCACCTACAACAGAAACCAATAGTGCACAGGCGCAATCCTATCGCCGCCGCCGCTGTAATACCTTTTTAGCGGTATAGTTGTATTTTTACACATTCAACTGTTGAAATTTGAATTTTAAAATGGTCGAACTATCGGAAGTGTTGTATTATTGATGATGTCGAATTACGGTTTGTTATTTGATAGGCTGGTGGTCAGGACATTAGAAGATGGCCAAATTATAGTCGAGTGTCGAATTAACGAGGTTATACTGTACATATAGTCTACTCTCGATAATTTGAATAAATTCAATATTAAAAGGTCCCCTCGGTAATTTGAAGTTGTTGGAATAGTATTTTACCACAAATAAACATTTGTCAATGACTACAAATGTTTAAAATAATAAATCTTGAATTTTGATTAAACTCTTGTTTACTTGATTTTATTAATATGTAAGATTCTATATGAAAAATGAGGAAAATGTTGCCGGTGACTTTTTCAAGCCAGACCTAACGCGTGAACTAACTAAACAAAGTTAGAGCTCAAATTTCCCACGCCGAGCAAGGCAAGGATATCTCTTACTACCCTATGCGCCACAAATAATGATTTCTTCTCAATTCCCACTATTTAAAATTCATTGGACAATGATACTCACTCAACAAAAAACCACTGACTTGAACACAAGGTAATAAGACCAAATAAATAGTGTGCGACGTTTCGGTAACAACGCTGTTACGTCGCACACTATTTGTTCTTAATACCTTGTGTTTATAATCAATAACCAAATTGTGCCTAATCAATTACTGACTTCTTTCTAAAATGATAATTTGTGAATAATTGAACAAGTGTAAAATTTGAGATCAAACGTGTTTAACAAAGGGCAAGACACGAAACCTCTTAGTTGTTTAAACTCTTGTTATTTTGATAAATTTTCTCTGGTCCCTTGAGTTTCAAATTATCGAGAGTCGACTATATATATAATTTTCAAAATGATATATATATTTTTTTTTTCCTGAAAATAGAGCAATCCATATAATCTAATGATATCTATATTTATTATGTTTATTTTTTTTTTATGAAATTATAAATGAAAAAAAAAAAAATAGAAAGAGCAAAAGACAATTTCATACTTTATTGTGGTTATTGTGGTTCAGGCCTTTCTATTGACTAGTCATCTTCTTCAGGCTATGGAACCTCACAGGTCTGCCTCCATCACTGAGGGCCTCTTGGCGTCGGGGTGTGGCAGGTCACATAAGGTGCGTAGTCCCTAGGAAGGCCAGGGAGGTCTGTAGGCCCTTTTATAAAAAATTTTTGGCAACACTTTCCAGCACTTACACCAGGCTTGGTATAGCTCCTCACACACACTCCCTGGTGAGCTCCTGTAACATTTCCTTGGTTCGCAGTCCAGGCTGCATGCTACAGTTGGTTCTCAGAATTGGTCCTCAGGGACTGCCCTGCCACAACACTAACATACAGGTGAGCTCTTCTTATTATAAACATTGCTCCCCTACTTTCATTCCATTTATTTAGGCCACCAGCTATTTATAACTAATTTTGTTAGGTTTGTCTTCAGCATCCTCCCCTCCCACAAGCATCAAAAACTAAAGGGATAATTCAAGAAAAGTTTTTGGTGCTCCAATGCGGAAGACATGGATCCTTTAAGCATCCACACATTAAAGAACCAAACAATAAATATCTCTAAAAAAATTTTTTTTAATGGTATATATAAAAAATTAGCCACTTTCACAAGTTCATGACATTACTATGCACAAATATTCTATTAGGTATTCCCTTTAAATATAAATCCATAATATATTCTACAGGTAAACTCCGTATAATTAGTATAAAAGTATGACGAATCTAAAGTTTTGCGGAGGAGCCTCTTTTATTATACTTTTGCAAGCTTTTGAACCTTTCGGTTCTTCCACAGGCGTGGCTAGTATGACTACACTAACAGGGTATAAGCGCGCTTGAGCCATTATATACAACATATAAATTTACATGCGGAGTGATACTTCAAACGTAATAAAATAGAAATAGGAACTATGACTATAAAAATTAAACTATGTAAATGAACTTATAGATACACATATATCATATATTTACACTACCTCTAAAGAAATAGTGGCAATTGTACAAATGTGTACTATGCTGGGCATTGTGACACGGCAAAATATCAATATGACTATGTTGATGATCAATCTGAATGAGTTTAGGTGAGGTAATTTCATTCCTCTGAGGAATTGGTTGATTCCTCTCTATCAATTACACTACTTTGAACATGTCTACTCTTCTCAAACTCTGAGCCACCTAACTTCTCAAAGTGGCTGATGGAGTCTTTGCCGAACCTTAAACAACTCTCTATAGGAAAGCCTGTAGTTTTCACTCTCTGCACATCATATTAAACATCTTGATTACATTCTTCTATACCCATTCAAATATGAGACTACAGTAGAACCTCCCTTTAGAGGACACCTCTCCACAAAGGACTGTTTTCATTTGCAAAATTACCATTTTTACAATTTAGCAATTCTCCGGTATGAGGACACCTCTCCCTAAAGGACACTTTGGCTCTGCAATTAGGTGTCCTTTACAGGGAGGTCATCAGTAGGAAATCATTTTATTTTAGACACTCTAAACAAAAGGTAATGGACCAAATCCAAATAAATAGTGTGTGACATTTCTGTAACAGCGTTGTTACCATCTTCAGACAAAAGTACTGAATGAGAATTTTTTTGTATTGTATCATCTCGTCAATGGGCCAGGTGGTTACATCATCACCAACCTTAGACGAGGTGCCAGGTCGCGGTGCATCATCCAAACTTTCTATGCCGCTTTCCAATTTTTAACCTACTCAAAAATTCAATTTGAGGTAAACATTTATCACTGTAAACATATTTCATTCTGGAGTTAATTTGAAATGGTTAAACTCCTTCATGATTTAAAAAAAAAAAAAAGTATTACTGATCGCATTTCATACTTGGTGCAACTGTTTGTTTTGGTCACCATTTTTATTGGAAAAAAATGTTGCCAGATGGTTTCTTGAGAATTTTTTCTAATATAACAAAAGAGTTAAATTTAAAAGTGTATATACATTTGTTTCCTTTTCTATTAAACTTTTATCATTTATTATTGATCCACCCTTGTAGAAAACACAACACTGTTGTATCAATGCTGGCAACCATCAAGGTGTGGGATAAGGTGGAAAGAGCTCTAAATATTCCCCATTCAAAGGAAGATGACTGTGTAGATGTTGCATTGCCAGGATGTAAATAAAGACACCATTCTCATTATTGGAATTTATTAAACAAAAATATTTTACATATATGAAGCGTGAAATTATTTACATAATTACAAAGAAATAAGTACGTAAATTTGCATAGCTAGCTAATCAACTAGAGAGCCAACAAATACACATCATAAATATATGTTAACAATTCCATTGTCATAATCTAACAAGTGTCTGGTATCATAATGGCATTATTTACACAATTACAAGGAAATAAGTAAGTAAATTTGCATAGCTAGCTAATCAACTAGAGAGGCCACTATATACCCCTCATAAATATATGTTAACAATTCCATTGTCATAATCTAACAAGTGTCTGATATCATAATGACATTATTTACATAATTACAAAGAAATAAGTAAGTAAATTTGCATAGCTAGCTAATCAACTAAAGAGGCCACTATAAACAGATCATAAATATATGTTAACACAATTCCATTGTCATAATCTAACAAGTGTCTGGTATCATAATGACATTATTTACAGTACCTATTTGGGTCAACCTTACTGATAATCCAAACATTATAAATAAAAACTTTTTGTTTATGTTTTGTATACTGTCTTTTTGTTTGTTATGTTTCAAAATACTTTTAGAAAAAAAAAATCTATATAGCAAAGTGTTAAAAGAGAAAATTCAATTAAATAACCACATAATTGCATCAATTAAAGGCTATGGTTTCCAGACTTGAATTAGTTGGGTCAGCATGGTCCCCGAGAAAGAAATCTAATCCAGCGACAATATAGAGGTCACACTGCGAAGTCCTGGCGACATTCCAACCACCACAAACCTGGCCCATGATTACTATTGTGTCAAAGTACATCCACTATATGGGTGGGTAGACATGCATGGAAGCCACCAGACTAGAACAGGACCCACAACAAATTCTACCATGATAGGCTCCTCTTAATGATACTATGGGATAATGTATGTATTGTAAACCACAACAATTTATCACATTAACATTTAATAATCTGGATAGCTCTTATGGGGCCAAAAGGAAATAAAATAAGAGGACAATTCAATCTCTAAGGCTTTTATAAAATACTCAAAAATATAAAAGGCATTAATACTTGGAGGACTAAGAAATTTCAATAGAAAAACACTAGAAGTAGTAATAAAAATTCTGGTGAAAGCTACAAATTTTCCCCTGACAAGATTCATTGGGGGAAGCAATTTCTGTGAACAAAATTTATAGATGATCACAAATGACATTTTATTTGTATACAAGAAATAGCTCAGAACAAATGTTGCACAATTTGTTAATCCTAATTTAAATGAGAAGAAATAACTGAAGAGATACTGATGACCTTCAGGTACAACCACTGTGCTTCAGGTAGGGCTCAACTATAATGTGGGGAAAGTCTGGAGAAAACAGGTGATGAACATTTGTCGTGTGTGAATGTTCTATGTGAAGTGAATGACATGTCAATCCCTCTGTTTACTGTTTATCTTTCGCCATCATGTTGTCCTGACGCCCTTCTTGACAAGATAGACCTCTCTTTAAAATCAATCAATTTCCACGAGGTAATTTTTTGACAGTTGGTCAAATAAAGCACGGTTTGCTTAAATTTATCTTTTCCAGAAGAGATTCTGTTGAAAACTTGGACGAGCAAAGGAAGCTTATTCTAACAAGCCAGTTTCTGAAGAGAGATTTAAATTCCAACCACCCTCTCTGAGTTCGCCGACTCCAGTGTTCTTTGGCATTCTGAGTGTGAATTCGGCAACAACTGTGGTAGGTTTGTGCCCGAAAATATTCCACAGTCTGATGATTTTTCCCTATTGTAATCCATAGCCCGTAGTCTGTCATACGTTCCCACATTCCCCCTTGTTGTTTATCTTGCTCATTTTGTTTGTTGTACATATATTGTTGTAAACTTCTGTCATCCCTTCCACATCGTACCCATCTGTACCAACTTGTTCATATTGACTGTCAACCAGCACATTCCGTGCCCATGTATCACCCATCCCCACAACCTGCGGAGTTTTTCCTTTTTTTGGCTCAAGTTCTACATGAGTCATTTTGTTTTGAGTATTTTAAAAGCTTACGAGCGAGGCTCCACCGATCATCCCTCGACGGCATGATGGACACCCCCCTGGCTAGATGCAATAATAAAAAAAGCGACGCTAATACAATGGACCCCTCTTGGCATGGAATCAGGCTTGTTCAACCCGAGATCCCTCCCACTGGTGAGTATCCCCGGGTCTCTCCCTCTACTTCACCCATCAGGCCTCTTGATTCCAACCAGGCATTCGGCGAAGGGTGGGAACAAATAGGCACCAATTTCACTGAATGTCTAACTATGGTGTATGGGGAGATAGGAACGGTCCTGGGTAAGGACATGGGTGCATCACCTTACTGGGTCATGTACCATAAAATTAACGGGATGTTGACGAGTCTGCAGCACTCCTTGTTTGACATTCTGGCCAACAAACTGAAGGCCTGCGACCTAAAAGTCGCCTCAAATCCGCTCCAGTGACAAAAGTCACGCCGCCAGCTAGTGTCAGTGTTAATCTGACCAAGCCCTCACGACCCAGCTAAGCTCAGATGCTGCGTAACAGTGCCAAACATGTTAAGTTGGCTTCCGCCGATCTTTCTGTCAAGGAGCTAAGGGCAAAAATTGCTCAGACTCCCAGTTTGAAGAACTTGGATGTTGCTGCTGTGACTGGGGCTAGGATAAAAAACTGGTCCTCCACTTCACTAATCCCTTTGAAAAAAGAGGTTTGTTGACAAGGTTAAGACCGCTAACATTGGCGGTCTTAAGTCCAGTCGAACCCTAATTTTAGCCCAGGCCCACTATCTTTGGGGTTCCAGCTGAGAAAACCGAGGAGCAGCTTGCGGCTGATATTAGGTGCCATCCTGCTGTCGAGAAAATGTTGAAAAACGACGCCGATTGTAGAATTGTTAAACTGATAAGGAACGAGGGTTCACCCTCCACAGCGATATTAGAGGTAAACAAAGATATCGAGGCTGCTCTGCTCGAGCATTTTTCCATTGATTACTCCTCTCTGAGACTCCTTGCTCCATTCGCCAGTATCCTCACCCCCTTAAACGCAGACTAATTTGAAATTACCCTCGACATAACATTCTCACACCTCACACAAACATACAGCCAGTGCCTCATAGAGGCCAACCATACAAACAACATTCTCACACACATACTAACACATCCACCCTCACACCGCCCCACTTAACCTTCCACTCTAAACCCTCCCATCCCCTCTCCTAAAACCCCTCATCCTTCCCCTCTTAATCCTCTCACACCCTCCCCCCCCCCCCCCCCCCCCCCCCCAACCCCCTCCTTCCCGCTTCCAAATCCTCTCCTACCTACTTCTGGCTCATTTGCCAGAGCCACCTCCCTCCCCCCACACACCACACACATTCTACCTCACCGCCCCACACCCCCCTCCAACCGCAACAACCCCTTCCATATATTAATAACACAAGACCCCTCCATCAACATCCCCATCGACACCAACCTATATACGAAAATCTCCATCCCCTCCATTCGCCAGGAGACGCTTCTACCTCGGAGAGGTGAATAAGGCAGTTGAGACTGCTCTACTCGAGTGCGGTAGGATTACAATAGACTACCTCTACCTGAGACTCGCAAGGGCTAAGCGCGTCTTTCCTTGCGGTGTCTGTGGCAGCCTTAGTCACAAGACCCACACCAACGGTAAGAAGTGTAACAGGGCGGCCACTGCACTGGTGCACATCTGTCCGAGGCCTGTGACAACAAGGGTGTGCTGAAATGCCACAGGTGTGGTGGCAGGAACAGAGCTAACTCAATGGCATGTAAGCACATGCGGGACGCCCAGGAGAACTTCAATAAATTAATGGTGCAATGAACATGCTCAGGTGTGTTCAAGCCAATGTAAGACACTCCTTATTGTTTCTCCTCTTTGTGGAATGAATGTTCCAATGAGAAAGCAGATGTGCTATTATTACAACAACTCCTAGTTGATAAAGGCAGCTTGCCTTCTATTCCTTCAATACTCAGAGATGAAGTGTTTCACTCATGCATACAGACTATTCCTTTCAAGACAAATAAAATTGGCAAAATAAAAAGTAAATAGTCTCCCTTCCCTCGCTCAATCCTCTCTTGACCTCATCCATTCCTGGTGCCTTGACAACAAACTCTCCCTCACCCCCCATAAGTCCCTGGTTCTACCCATTTTCTGCAACCCTCCCCATCTTCTAATTGACAACACCCCCCTCTCCTGTCCCGAAACCCGGAGCTTTAGGCAGATCCTACAATATGAAGTTGGTGTAGGACTAGGTGGCAATTAGGGCGATTTTAGTGATTAGGGCGCAATAAGCAGCCTCTGCTAAAAATGCCAAACCTGCACCACCACCCAAACCAGCCCCTGTGGTAACAAAAGTCACCCAGCCAACCAATGTTGGTGTTAAGCCAACCAAACCTACACGACCAAGTTACGTGCATATGCTGCATAACAGCATTAATCATGCGGAGCTGTCTGTTAGTGAAATTGGCAAAAATCACCCAAACTCCCTGTTTAAGGAATGTTGATGTAGCCGCTGTGACTGGGGGGGGGGACAAGAAATCTGTCTTCTACTTCGCCAACTCCTCTGAAAATAAAGAGGTTCGTGGACAAGTCCGCCAACATTGTTGGACTTAAAAGTCCAGACGAATCCTATATTCAAGCCAAGGCTTGCTATATTCGGGATTCCTACTGAGAAAACTGAAGAGCAGCTTGTGGTTTTATTATTTTCACACATTAAAAGCCAAAATACACAGGGTAAAAAAAAAAATGAAAATAATATAGAAAAAGAAAGATAAAAGTGGCCAATGTCAGCAAATCGTTCAAAAGCGGTCGCCATCAACTCTCCATTTTGATTGGCTCTCAGCTACCCAGGTTTAGACTTTGGGGCGCCTTATAAAACGGCACCAATTTGATGCTGTTCCTCTCCCCTCCTTCCCTGGTGTAACTCTGAGCTCCAGAGACTGAAAACGTTGTCCAGGAGACTCTGTAGGAAGATGAAAACTATGGCTCCTCCTCTCCGCGACAGCTACCGCGAGGGTTACGCAAGACTCCGAAACAAATACAATAGGACCATCCTCAAGGCCAAGAGAAGGCACTTCCGGGAATTTACCTCCTCATTCACCAATAATCCTTGGGGTCCTATCCACTGCTTTGTCTCTCGAGGGTTCTCTCTGCGCAGCCCGTTCTGTTCAAGGAGGTTTGAAACCCTCTCTACTCAACAGAACATTCCTGCTAACCTCAAGGACATCCTGGACGTCTACTTTTCAGAGCCTCCTCCTAATTCCCGTCCATCTCACTTCCTCCCCTCCCTCACCTGATCTCCCCTTTTCTCTTCTCGAGTTCCATTTAGCTCTACGGACCCTCAATCCTAAAAAATCTCATGGTCCTGACTTGATGCCCGGTCAATTTGACAAATGGCTACTTTCCTCCTTCTCCACCTTTTTCTTCAAACTCTTCAACAAATGCTTTTCTCTACGCTATTTCCCCAAGCTCTGGAAAGTAGGCCGAGTTGTGCTGGTCCCCAAGAATTTTAATGCCGAAGGACTTCACCTCTCAAAACCGTCCGATCGTACTTCTCCCTATCCTGGGTAAAAGCCTCGAAAGCATGCTCTCCCTTAGACTCTCGCACCACTTTGAGTCCAACGGTTGTGCTATTGTTGCAAGAACTCCCAGTTTCCAAAAACAATTTACTGTCATTACCTGTGCCCCTTGACAGGGTTTGCTACGGTCCAATAATTGAAAATAAATTGGGAGCGGCTGTAATAATAGCAAATCCGAATTTAAAATTCATACTTGTCTCACTTGTCTTGTGTGAATGCTGTATTTGTCCTGTGTGAAGTGAATGACTTGTCAATCCTTCTGTGTACTGTTTATCTTTCACCATCATGTTGTTCCGATGCTCTTCTTGATAGGATAGACAACTCTTTAAAAACAATTAATTCCCACGAGGTGATTTTTTGCGGCGACTTTAATATTGAATCCTATAGATGGTCAAATAAAGCGCGGTGGCTAAATACAAATGCTCTAAAAGAGAAATTGTCGAAAACTTCCTTGACGCTAACTTGCTCCACGTTGTCAACAAACACGGCACGATCACGTGGGAGGAGGGCGAGAGGTCCTCCTCCATCGACGTCACGTGTTGTTCTGCTGGCCTCGCGGACGGGATCGCCGATTGGAATGCAATCAACCAGGCTTTATCTGACCATAAACGCCTCATGTTTAACGTTAATTTTGAACCCCTCTCTTCTAACAGCAATAACAACATACACGTAAACAACTTTAGCGAAGTTACTGGACGCGAGTGACACAACTCAAGTTGATGAAGTAATTAATTTTACTAGAAGACGAGGTGTTTCACTCCTGTCTTCAAACCATTCCCTCTAAACCTTCCACCAATATATATTTTTTAAGAAACCCACTTGGTGGAAACCTGAACTAAATCCACTCCAAAGGGCTACTCAAAAAGTTGAAAGGGCGTGGAGAAAAGCTCGTGAGCCTGTTAGAAGCGTGTTAAAGATATTTTATAAGAAATTATATAATAGATTTCCCACCTCTATCAGACACGCAAAGCTTGTCCACCCGAGCATGTTCAACTCCCTGCTCGACCCTACCATCGGCGGGAATCCTCGAGGCCAACAACTCCACAAACCTCCTCACTCATCTCCTTGAACAAAAATTGCAAACATCCTCTCCCTGCCCACCTATGCCGAAGCTAAATAGGAATTTCTCTATAGTGCCCATGGGCTCCTGTGCTCCGGTTCCCCAGCGGTCCTACAAGGATACATCCTTGGACGCCCAGCCCCAATTCACCAAGAAACCAGACGACAATAAAAATTATTTAATTCCCCGGATCTCTTGGACGGCCGCCAAACGCCATTTATCCTCTCCGGATTTTTTCCGCCCGCAGCCAATCAAAATGCGGGATCTCCAGGGCGGCCGCACTCGGCTATTTAACACTTCCACGCCAACGAGCGTCGGATAACTTCAACGAGTCCAGTTATTCCCCCCACCAGTGGTAAGGATTCTGGATACTCTTGGAGTCAAAAGCTTCCCTTGAATTAGGATCGCTTCTTGCCAGTCCCTAGTGACCCCCCACCAGTGGTAAGGCACAGGGATACTGCCTGAAGTAAGGGCACACACTTTTTTTTGGTGGTGTCAGTATATTCAAGGAGGCTATATAGGAATTTCTTTTCATAGTGCTTCTGGTCTCCTGTGCTACTGTGCTCCTGTTCCCCAGCGCCCAGCCCAAATCCATCAAACCAGAAAGAGGATAAAAATTATTTTTTTATTCCCCGGACCTCTTGAACAGCCGCCATACGACATTCATCCTCCCCGGATTTTTCTCGCCCGCGGCCAATGAAAACGCGGGCTCTCCAGAGCGGCCGCAAGCGGCCATTTGACACCTCAACGCCGAGGAGCGCGGTCTCTCCGTCCGCCGCGCGGAAATCCAAGCTCCCCTCCCCAGGCAACGGCACCACCTCGCGCCGCCGCGTGCCCAGCGACTCACCTGTCCACCCCAGCGTACCAGTCCTCCGCTCCCCCACCCGCCGAGGATCCACCCCTAATAGAACCCCCTCTCCCACACCCCTCCTGGATACTACACCCCCCCCCCCCAGATACCTCTTCTTCTTCCAGGGAGGACTCCACCAACTCTCCCCAAGACGGCACCTCCACTTCAAATGCGGACTCCTCCAGGGATGAACTACGCTCCAGAATCTTCGACAGTCACCTGGACTGCACAATCGGCGGCCCTCTCAACGGTCAACCAGGGGTGAGTGAACCTGCCCCTCCTCATCCCCCTGCCACCACCACCCACACTCCCTACAGGCTACACCACCCTCGCAATTCCGACTTTTTCATTGACTCCCCCCCAAATATATGCAGCCTATTCCCCACCAACAACAACTCCCACTTCCTCCCTCTTTCCTGGGCCTACCACCTCCTAGCTCCTTTTTCCAATCATCTAACTCCTGCAATCGCCGACCATTTCAGATCCACCCTCGACAAAACATTTGCACACCTCACACGTACATACACCCAGCGCTTCATAGAGGTCGACCAAAACACCAACACCCTGACACACATACTTACGCAAACACCCTCACACCACCCCACTGTCTCTTCCACTACCACGCTAACCCCCTCCATTCCTCCTCCTAAAACTACTCATCCTTCACCTTCTAACCCTCTCCCTCCTTCTCCCCCCATCCCTCAACCCCCACCCACCCCCTCCATCCCAAATCCTCCTCTCCTTCCTACTCCTGACTCTTTTGCCAGAGCCGCCTCCCTTCCCCCTTCTGCTACTCCCTCTCCCCCCCCATCCCCTCTCCCCCGCCACACCACACACATCCCATCCCACCGCCCCACACCCCCCTCCAACCGCAACAACCCCTTCCATATACTAATCACCCAAGACCCCTCCATCAACACCCCCATTGACACCAACCTATACAGAAATATTTCCATCTCCTCCCTTACCACGTCCACCACACCAATCACCAACATACACCGCACACGTAACAGCAACATTGCAATTTCGCTAAATGCACTTGTTCCAAATGTATTCTGGGAACAGACATCAAGGTACGCCTGCCCCCTACATTCAAACCACGTTATACCCTTTTCAACATTCCTGACTCTCTCCCAACAGACGACCTTCCCAAACTACTTGAGCATTCCGTGGGCGCCGGCTGTAGGCTAGTCCGCACAATGGCCGCGCGCAACAACAATTTACACGCAATCATAGAGACAGACACCGCTACAGCCAGAGACCTCCAGTCGCGCTCTCGCCTATTCATAGGGTTCAGCTCCATCAGGTTCGAGCGGACTAGAACTACACACCCTTGCTGCTCCTGCAGCGACCTACGCCAACACAACAACTGCACAAAACGGGCCAAGTGTTTGCATTGTGGGGAGGGTCACACCATCGACGACTGCACAGCAATCTCCTCTCCCCCTAGATGCTTCCGGTGCAGCATTAACAATCATCACCCGGCGGATTCCCTTGCCTGCCCGATCATTAAAGCGGAAGAGTTGGCCTTCCTCACTTCGCATGGAATCCCATGATCAGGTTCCTGCAACTAAATTGCAACCGTTCCCTCCCCTGCTTCCTCTCTGTCCTCCAAACCACGCAGTCCTCTCACATTGATATCCTACTACTTCAAGAGCTGCCGGTCCGCAAGGGCCTTCTCCCCTCTCCCTTCCCCATCCCTTCCGCCTCTTTCCTTCACGCTCCCATCTCACAGAACAGGTGCAGCACCTGCATCGTGGTTCTCAACCAGAGCCTACCTGTGGTCTTCCTCGCCTTTCTACCACCAATCGCACCCTGGCCATTCTCGATATTCCAGGCTTCCATCTCACTATCTGCTCTGTCTACTTTCCTCACAAAGCTCCTTATTCTCCCATCATAGACTCCTTCATCACTCTCTTCGGCTCTCCACCTCCTCCTCGCCTTATATTCGCTGGAGACGTCAATGCCATCTCTTCCCACTGGAGCCTCCAAAAGCAAAACGGGAAGGGTTCTCATATAAACAACCTTCTTGATGCCCTTGATCTTAAGGTTTGCAATTCCAGAGGTGCCATCACCCGCTCCCAAGGCGATTTCTCCTCCTCCATTGACATCTCCAGCATCTCCTCTGCCCTCAGACCTTCCATTTCTGACTGGTCCTCCAATCCCTTTAATCTTTCAGATCACTTCGAGATCCGTTTCTCCCTCCCCTGCCCCCCTCTTACTCTTCCTTCAACCCCTCCTCCTCCCCCATCCCCATTCCCAGACTTCTCTCCCCTCCATTTCCAAGCCCAGCCCCCCCTGGTCCTCTTTAACTCCCTGGCAAGGCACTTCACCAACTCCGGCCACCTTATTTCCACCCTGAGTAACTGCTCCTCTCCTGAATCTCTTGACTCCTTGCTACGATCTTTTTATTCCATCCTCTTTATCAACTGTTCCAGCCACCTCCGCACCCGCCCTTCCAAATCTAACTACCCCCCTCCTGTCCCCTGGTGGTCCCCCCAGCTTCAGTCCCTGAAGTCCTTTTCCCGGAAACTCCGGCAATCCTTCCAGAACAGCTCTCCTCCCCAGCGTGCTATTCTTAAAGATCAGGCCCTTCAGGCAAAGAAAGAATATGTCCGAGCTCTATTTAAAGCCAAAAGGAGACACTTCCGAATGGTCTGCTCCTCCTTTACGCACAACCCCTGGGGGACCATCCACCGCTTCATCACTCGAGGCTCCTCCCGCTCTCTTCCTCTCTCCTCCAACAGTTTTCAAAAATCTCTCCTTCACTACTCCATTAGGGACCGTCTCCAAACCACCCTAGACTTCTTCTTCAACCCTCCCCCCCCCCCCGACTCATGCCCCTTCCACCTCTCCCCTTACCCTCTCAACCCCCCTAACCCCCCCTCTGACCCCCCTTTTACAGCCATAGAACTCTCCCTGGCCCTCCGCCGCCTTCGCCTTAAGAGGTCCTACGGCCTCGACTTCCTCCCTGGTCCCTTCTCTAAATGGCTCGTTGACTCCTTCCCCAACTTTTTCCTGAACTTATTCAACACCTGCTTTTCCTTAAGACACTTCCCTTCCCTCTGGAAAGTCGGTCGCCTCGTCCTACTCCCCAAAAAAACAGACTCGGACGACTTCAATAGCAAATGCCGCCCCATTGTCCTCCTCCCCATCCTCGGAAAGCTGCTCGAGAGCCTCATGGCTTTCCGGCTCTCTCATAACTTCGAGAGTAACGGCCTACTCCACCCCCTGCAATTCGGCTTCCGCGGAGACGCTCCACCACCGATGCTCTCTCCCTCCTACGCACCCATATCAGACGAGCCATCTCCCGCTTTCAATGCTGCCTCCTCATCAGCCTGGATATCAAATCCGCATTTGAACACCTCTGGCACCCTGCCCTATTCGGCCGACTCGAGGCTGCCTCTTGCCCCCCCCACCCTACTTCAACTCTACCGCTCCTTCCTTTCCAACCGTTCAATTCACTTTTCCTACCGAGGATACTCCCGCTCCACCTCCCCCTTGAGAGGCTGCGCACAAGGCTCTGTCAGCGGGCCTCTCCTTTGGAACATCTTTTTCAATCCCCTCCTATCTCTTCCTTTCCCTCCTGGTGTCCATGTGCAAGCGTTCGCCGACGACATTCAAATCCTCGTCTCCGGTCCTTCACTTCACCTTCCCTCCCTCGCTCAATCTGCTCTTGACCTTATTCACTCCTGGTGCCTTGATAATAAGCTCTCTCTTACCCCCCATAAATCTCTCGTGCTTCCTATCTTTTGTAACCCGCCCCAACTTCTTATCAATGGCACACCCCTCTCCTGTCCCAATACCCTTACTATCCTTGGGGTCACCTTCGACGACCGACTTAGTTTTACACCTCACCTCCACAGGGTTTGCGAGGAAGGCCTCCTCCCTTCTAGGCAGGGTCCGTCAATGCTCAAATTCAGTTTCCGGATTCGGATTTGTTGCCAGGAGACGATTCTACCTCGGAGTGGTCGAATCTGCCATCACGTACGCCGCCCCCATCTGGAGCGAGGCGGCTAAACTCCGCATTGGTAAATCAAACCTCCGGTCTATTCAGAGGAAATTCTGTATCAACGCAATCCGCGGCTTCCCTTTAATACTCCTTACTTTGTAAATATATCTCCCCATCTTCCTCTCGCCTAATTTTTACCTATATGTATACTTCGTTGTTTGCCCCAATATGTACCTCCCCCTTGTTAATTGTAATGTGTGCACCAGAAATAAAATTAGAAATAATAAAAGAAGATTTGCGGGATGGATTTGCTTCTCCTCGGTCTTCTTGGGCATAGGGACGCTCTGGACGGTCTTATTTCAGCACTCCTCCTGGACCACCGGACCAAGAACTGACCTACACCTCCATAGAAGACCCCTCCTGGATGGCCATATGGAACCTGACGCTGCGCCCAGCACTAATCTTGTTGCCCTCCATAGCCACACCCTAGGCATCTTCTCCCCCGGGGCGCTTACTTGCACTGCCTACGCCTCTCCAACCCCAATGCGCGGCCTGTCATTTTCAGAGACCGGAATCCCATCCAGCTTAATATTTTTGAGCCTTAGAATGCTCCCATTCATGCATGTAGAAGGCGGAATAATAGTAGAGACGCCAACGAGCGTCTTGGACGTCTACTTTTCAGAGCCTCCTCCAAATTCCCGCCCATCTCACTTCCTTCCCTCCCCCCCTATTCCCTCTACCCCTCCCCCACCTGATCTCCCTTTTTCTACTCTAGAATTCCACCTTGCTCTACGGGCCCTCAACCCTAAAAAGTCCCATGGTCCTGACTTGATGCCCGGTCAATTCGCCAAATGGCTACTTTCCTCCTTCTCCACCTTTTTCTTCAACCTCTTTAACAAATGCTTTTCTCTTTGCCACTTCCCCAAGCTCTGGAAAGTAGGACGAGTTGTACTGGTCCCCAAGAAATTGAGTGCTGAGGATTTCACCTCCCAAAACCGCCCCGATAGTGCTTCTCCCTATCCTGGGTAAAACCCTCGAGAGCATGCTCTCCTTTAGACTATCGCACCACTTTGAATCCAACGGTCTCCTCCACCCCAATCAGTTTGGTTTCAGGAAAGGGAGAAGTGCTGCGGACACTCTCGCCCTACTCAAGACCAAAGTTTCGGAGTCTATACGTTCCCACCAATGCGCCCTCCTCATCAGTCTCGACATCAAGTCGGCCTTTGACCACCTATGGCACCCGTCCTTCCTTACTCAGCTCACCCCACCCTCCAGGCCCTTTACCACTCCTTCCTCAGTGACCATAGTCACCCTTTCTTACAAAAACTGCTCTTTTTCTATGCTTCCCTCCCGAGGGTGCCCCCAGGGATCTAGGAGTGGCCCCCACGTCTGGAACATTGCCTTCAACCCTGTCCTATCCCTTCCCTACCCACCCGGCGTTCATATACAGGTATTCGCGGACGACCTTCAGATCGTAGTGTCAGGTCCCCCAGGCATTCTGACCTCCCGCGCCCAGCTCTCCATCGATCTCGTCTCCGACTGGTGTCTGGGCAATAAGCTGACCCTCACTCCTCACAAATGTGAGGTCCTCCCTATCTTTACTAACCCTCCCTCTCTGACTCTACAGGACACTGTTCTCCCATGGACGGATAGGCTAAGGGCCCTCGGGGTGGTCTTCAATGACAGGTTCACCTTCGACTCCCACCTCCAATGGGTATGCGACCGTTGCCCCTGTCCATTCTAGGCCGCCTCAAGGGATGCTGCAACGCCCGCTCAGGCCTCGGGTTTCACGCCCGCCGACGACTATACATTCACGATGGCTCCAAACCAAAGAGGGGGTTGGTTCAGGCGTCGCCAGAATTTCCTCTTCCTCCCTTGGGATTCCACCTTTGTCCCTCTCCCTACATCTTGCCACTCACCTGCGGCAGTGTTTCAGGCCGAAAGCTTTGCCCTCCTCACGGCGCTACGGGACGCCTCCACCCCTTCCTCCTAACCTCTCGGTTGGGATCTTCTTGGACTGCCTTTCCCTTCTACACGCCATCTCCAACCTCGATACAAGGTTTCCTTTGGTGTTCAAGATACAGAGGTTGCTCTTTTCCCTCCTCCCCCTAGATCTATCACCCTACACTGGGTCAAAGGCCATGCAGGGATTTTCGGGTAATTGTCTAGCCGATCAGCTGGCACGCTCCGCCGCCGCAGATTCATCATCGCCCCCACTATATACCTTGGCTTCCCAAAACCACCTGCACAGGTTCACCTCGCGCAGCTTCTGGGACCGCTGGGATATTGAATTCCGTGACAAAAACCCCACCATCTTTCAGGTCTTCAAAATCTCCCCTCTTTCGCTCCTCAACGAACATAAGTATATACACCCCTCATCACAAATCATCACAGGTTTTCTCACCGGCCACTCCTTCATTGGATCCTACAAGTATAGGAGGAGGGACCTCTTGCGTGATGTCACGTGCCCTGACTGCCATCTTGCTCCGGAAACAGTAGACCATATCTTTTTCAACTGTCCCCACCTTGACGACCTCAGGGCTACCTTGTTTCATTCCTGCCTGTCCATTACCGGTAGGATTCCAACCACCCTCTCTGATTTTGCCACATCAGCTCTCTCTTGGCAACAACTGTGGTAGATTCGTGCCTGAGAATTGTCCATCCTCTGATGACTCTTTGTAACTTTTACCTAATCCCCCTTTCTGTCTCCCTGTAAATATCCTCCTGGAACCCCATGTGCCAACCCAACCTTGTAACCCCTTCATCATCATGCTCACTTGCCATCTTTTCCACCTACCTCCCATTGTTTCCCACCCCTACTGCTTGTAAATAGCCACTTGTACCCATGATCCTATTTACTTCCCCTCCTGTACTTGATTGTGACTAATCAATAAAGTTTTCAGCAGATTTACTTGCCGCCTGTACTTGGTTGTACTTGGCACAGCCTTTTCCCCTCAGCCACGACCCTTAGCCAACTCTCTCCGGCTTCCACTTCCCTGTGTCGGTGCCCTCACAGCCTTCCGGGCCTACCAAATTCTGCCTTCCAGCTGCGGCTGGCGGTTTACCTTGTGTTGTCCAGCGTATGTTCTCCGAAAAAGCTTGATCCGAAAGCTTACAGCGGAGGGAGATATAATTCAACACGCCAACGAGCGTGGGGCGCCTCCATCGCTCAGATTCGCGTCCCTGACTCCAAACTGTGCACACCATCCCTGGAACACTCTTGCTCTTGGATTGCTCTTTCTACTATTTCGCGTGGATTACTCTCTTGGATTATTCAGCTATGGCGGCGGATACCTCCGCTTCTTCTGCCCCAACTCTGGGTGAGTTTCCCCGGGTCACTCCTTCTTCTCCTCCTCCCTTAACTCCTATTAACTCTAACACGGCATTTAGGGAAGGGTGGGAAGAAATTAACACATCTTTCAAGGCTTCCGTGAAATCTTTCAACATGAGGTTGGGGCAAGGATTAGCGGGGACCTAGGCTCCCCATCTAATAGGTGTTTCTTTCGAAATATGGATGGTCTGCTCTCCGATCTCCAAAACACTGCTGTGGGGATCCTCCAGCATAAGCTGAAGTGCTGCGACCTTAAAGTCGCAGAAATCAGGGCTGAACTATCAGCCTTAAAGAAAAAAACAACAACCGTCGCTCCCACACCTCCTCCCAAACCAACCCCAGCGGTGACAAAAGTCACCCAGCCAACCAATGCAGGTGCTAAGCCTGCCATTCCAACCAAACCCAGTTACGCGCACATGCTGCGTAACAGCATTAATCACGTGAAGCTCGCTTCCGCGGACCTCACTGTTAGCGAAATTAGAGAGAAAATCGCCCAGACTCCCAGTCTGAAAAACTGTGATGTAGCCGCGGTGACAGGGGGGGACAAAAAACTTGTCCTCCCACTTCGCCACCCCTCTGAGAAATGAGGTTTGTGGACAACATTAAGTCCGCCAACATTGGTGGACTTAAAGTCCAAACAAACCCCCACATTCAAGCCCAGGCTTGCCATCTTTGGTATTCCCGGAGAGAAAACTGAAGAGCAACTTGTGGCTGATATCAGTAGCCATCCCGCAGTTGTACCGCTGCTGAAAAGCGGCGAAAACATAAAGATGGTAAAATTAATTTAAAAAGAGAATGCCACCTCCACCGCGATAGTTGAGGTTAACAAGGATGTTGAGACTGTCTTACTCGAGCGTGGTAGGATCACGATCGACTTCCACTCGCTGAGACTCGGTAGAGCAAAGAGCGTCTTCCCATGTGGTGTCTGTGGCAGCTTAAGTCACAAAACCCACACCAACGGAAAGAAGTGCACTAGGGCGGCTAAATGTAGCCACTGCGCTGGTGCACATCTTTCCGAAACATGTGAAAATAAAACAACTTTTGAAATGTCACAGGTGTGGTGACAAACACAGTACCAACTCCATGGGTGTAAAACACATGCGGGAGGCACAGGACAATTTCAATAAATTGTGGGTAAAATGAACGTTCTTAAGTGTGTTCAAGCCAATGTAAGATGCTCTCCATATTGTTTGTACTCATTGTTGAATGAATGTCGCGAAGTCTGCTGAATGGAGAAGGATCTGTTCGCTTTGTGAGGTTAACCCCTGGGGCGGCGTTTATAAATTTATTAAAGGCTCCACCAAGAGGAAGCCTCTTTCCTCTATTCTGGTTGGCGATGATCTCACTGACAGTCCGCGGGACCACTCTAGAACATGTATTAAAACATTACTTCGGCCGCGTCCCACCCGATATAACAGTAGAGCATGTTAACTTACATAAAGCCGTGCAGTCCACCTCTGATAACGACCCACCGTTCTCAGAAATAGAACTGCTACTGGCTGCGGATAAGGTTAGCCTTACTTCTGCTCCTGGCAGTGATGGTATGCCACCTCTTCTCATTGTTAAATTAATTAAAAAATTCCCGACGTTCTTTTTAAAGATCTTTAATAAGTGCTTTGAAACTGGACACTTTCCAACCCCTTGGAAACTGGGTGATGTCATACTCATTCCCAAAAAAGGTGGTGAGGACTTTCTCGTGTCTCATCGGCCATCACGATGCTGCCTGGCTTAGGTAAAATTCTAGAGCGTCTTATCCTGGCCAGGCTCTCGTGGCGAGCTGAGAGGATGTGTAAAGCCCAGCCAAACCAGTTCGGTTTCAGGCCTTGCAGATCTACTGTCGCCGCACTTCTAAATTTAAAAAATAATCTCTCCCGGTCGCTTCAACATAGAAAATCTTCTATTCTTCTTTCCTTTGATGTGAAAGGCGCTTTTGACAATGTGCTACACTCCAGCATATTGCGAGCTCTGTGTATGAATGATTGTCCTAAAAACCTGTTTGTCCTGATTCGCTCCTTCCTTAATAACTGTGTTGTCAGACTGTCTATGAATGGTTGCACGGTCACGAGGCAGGTTTCCAAAGGCTGCCCGCAGGGGTCAGTTCTTGGGCCGTTTCTTTGGAACCTTGTCTTTGACGAGCTCCTCACGCTCAATTTTAAAAAATGTGTACACCCGCAGGCCTACGCCGACGAACTTGTTATGGTGGTGTCGGGCCAAGTTACTCAGCAACTTGGAGCGGCGCAACTTGCCATTAATGAGATCACGAGGTGGTGTGGCCTGCATAAACTGGAACTCAGCGTGAGGAAGTGTCAGGCCATGCTCCTTCTAAGACGTACTGGCAGGCTACTTATACCTAGCTGCGATCTAACCATTAATGGTCAACCCATTCAATGGAGCAACTCAATCAAAGTGCTGGGAGTAAGGTTTGATCGGCGTCTCACCTTCCACCAGCATGTGTGTTGAGGGTTCAGGCAAGAATTCTCAAGCGCCGAGCGGCGCCGAGGTGACGGCGGGAACCGGCCGAAACTGGATCTCGCCAGTTTGTTTTGGTGTCGGCTGGAGGGAGGACTAACTCCGCGTCTAGCTGTGTGTGTATTCCCTCTATGTTCCGGCACTGGTTATAAATAAAACCGGTACCAAGGGAGCTCCGACGACTCAGAGTGGATTATTGACAAAACAACGGGCACAACACAACATGGTGGCAGCGGTGGGATCCGAACCCACGCCTCCGAAGAGACTGGTGCCTCAAACCAGAAGCTGGAGCCTACCCTTCAAAATGTGGCATTTTATTCCAAAAACGGTTGGCCCGCCAAATGTCAGCTCTCTCCCTTAGAACGCTCGTTCTACGATGTTCGCGACGAGATAGGGGAAGAGAACGGCTTACTAATGAGAGGACTGCGAGTGATCATCCCCTCTAACATGCGAAAAGATGTTTTGAACCGCGTCCACGCAGGTCATCAAGAATAACAAAATGTCGAGCAAGAGCAAAGGATCATGTTTGGTGGCCAGGAATAGGTCAAGAAATCCAGGATATGGTAAAAACCTGTGAGAAATGCATAGAGAATCAACCTCTAAAGCACGAACCACTCATCCCCAACGACTTTCCGGAAAGACCGTGGCAAAAGGTCGGGATGGATCTCTTCCATTACGAGGGAAGTGAGTATTTAGTCGTCGTAGACTACTTTTCTCGATTTATCGAGGTCGTACGACTTACTAAACTTTCCTCGGAAGCTGTGGTAGATCACTGCAAAGCTATCTTTGCTCGTCATGGCATCCCTGACATTGTAATCAGTGATAACGGACCACAATTTCGCCCATCAACAACTTCAGCTTTTACGAAGTTTGCCTCTGAAGTTGGGTTTCGACACATCACTTCCAGCCCAAAGCATCCACAATCAAATGGTCAAGCAGAGGCTGCTGTCAAAATTGTGAAAAACCTGATGAAAAAGAATAAAGATCCGGTCCTAGCACTCATGGAGTATCGGGCAACACCCCTGGCAAACGGACTTATGAAAACGGCTATATGAATATGAAACGGCTTTTGACAGACGCCATGAGGCCACAAAAAAGGCGGAACTAATTGCAGGAGAGAAAGTTTGGGTGAAGGATCTTCGAGCGTGGGGAAGTGTCCTTGAGAAGGCTTCAGCACTTCGCTCATACATCGTGGAAACTCCTGTAGGGACCTACAGGCGGAACTCTCTTCTTCTGGCTTCTTCCCAACAACAGGTCGACCCCAGTGAGACATCTCCTGACAGTGAACTCCCTGCTGAAACGGAGGAAACTCCGGGAAATGAACTGCCTGCAGAGGAGCAACAACAGCTGCCAGCAATCGCTCCAGAGATAAAGCAGCTGTCTCCCTCACCTGGGAAAGTGTCGCGGTATGGGAGAAGATACAATCGTGTCCAGCGCTAACCTCCTCTAAACTTTTTGGGGGAGATGTTGAGGGTTCAGGCAAGAATTTTCAAGCGCCGAGCGGCGCCGAGGTGACGGCGGGAACCAGCCGAAACTGGATCTCGCCAGTTTGTTTTGGTGTCGGCTGGAGGGAGGACTAACTCCGCGTCCAGCTGTGTGTGGTATTCCCTTTATGTTCCGGCCACTGGTTATAAATAAAACCGGTACCAAGGGAGCTCCGACGACTCAGAGTGGATTATTGACAAAACAACGGGCACAACACAACAATGTGGTTGAGGTTTGCACCAGAGTCCGCGGATTTCTCCCGCGTTTGACAGCAGCCGCCAACTCCAATTTTGGCTTTGGTTTCCGTGCCCTGAGGATGCTCTATCTACAGGTCGTGGTCCCAGCCATCTCTTACGCTTCTCCTGTGTGGTTTCCTAATCTTAAACAACGCTCTTTAAATACTCTCTTAAGCGCGCAGCGCCCGTTCCTCATCAGGACTTGCCGCGCGTTTTAAATCTACTCCCAATAGCTCTCTTATATCTCTTTCACGTGTTCTTCCTCTCGATCTGGATGTTGGCGCTAAGGCGGAATTGTATTTTAAAAAGCAGTTTTGTTGACGCTGATTTTCCAGTCGAGCCTCCCCCCTGCCCTCACCTGCTTCCCTATCCTCCCTATTACTCCGCTCCCATTAATATTCCTGATCTTTCGGCTGACGTCACCTACTACACAGATGGTTCCAAGACGAAAACTGGAGTTGGCACAGGCCTATATAGAGTGTGTGAGAATGGCTCCATGAATGAACTGCGTGAAAGCTTTGTCCTGTCCCCGTACTGTTCTGTCTTCCAAGCGGAGGCACTTGGCTTGCTTAAGGCACTTGAGGACGCTTCAAAGCTTCCCGACAATTACACCATTGAAATTCTCCCGGATAACCTCTCAGTTGTGAAATCTGCTCTAAACTCCAGAACTGGCAACCTCCTGGTCAACAGAGCCTTGTTGCTGATTTCACAACTGAACCGCAATGGGAACAGATGTACCATACATTGGATCAAAGGCCACAGCGGGATTTTTGGTAATGAAGTAGCTGATGTGCTCGCGAAATCATGCTCGAGTTTGACAGTCTGGACTCCCTCAGAACTCGTCTATTTTTTATAGCGGGGAGGGAACTCGGTTACACGCCGAGGGCGCTTCACGACTTCACCCACAGTTGTTTAACCTGGCGAGCCTGTATCGATTTTCTCCTGGCTTGCGACAGGCTGAGACCGCGGATCCGAGAGGTGGAATCAGAGGAGATTCCCGACTCTAATTCCACCTAAACTTTACATCAGTGTTTTACCTGCATATGCATGTATCACTAATTATGTATGCGATGTCAAACTTAATTTGCCAGCTTGCTTGTGGACGGGATTTCACCAAGCGCCGTCTCTAATCACCCAAGGGTTAGAGGGCCGCGGTTGAAATTGGACGCTGCACGCTGATTGGTCGATTAATCGCGCGACGTCACAACCGGGGGTTTTGTGGTCTGGCGGCCGCTCATTTTCATTGGTTGGCAAAAGATGCGATTTAGTACTTCCAGATTTTGTACTCTGAAATTACTTTCTCCTCAAAAGAAAAAATTTTCTGGCTCCTTTGATAAGGTCCTTTTTTTTTGTTCTACACCAACATCCCCAGGCGCTGTGTGCTCTTCTCTATATATCCATTTTTTCTATCCTGTCCTCTTCTAAATCTTTTTCCTTCTTTAATTCTTTATTTTATTCTTACTATTATTATTAAAATATTTTTATTCTTTCTTTTTCTAATCTTACTTAATTTTATTATTAATAATACTATTACTTTAATTTTTCTACTATTCTCACTTATCTCCTTATTTATTTATTCAATTATTGCCATTTTTATTTTTATTTTATTATTATTAGTAATTCTTTCTCTTTTTTTTTTAAATCAACCTTTTCACAATTGCTCACCTTTCTTAACTTGAAACCTCTTCCTCTCTTTCCCTCTGACCCAGGGATACTCACCTATGTTCTTACAGCATCAGCACGTTTCACACTCTCCAGGGGCGCCTTGGGGGCGCCTCGTGTCTCTTCGCGGATGGGGTTGGAGATGCGTCTCGCGCCGCCCCTGCTTGCGTTGCGTTGGGTGGCGGGCTTGGTGGTTCCTTGGGTGTTGTCGCGGGGGATATTGCGATGTCAAACTTGTAATTTGCCAGCTGGCTTGTGGACAGGATTTCACCAAGCGCCATCTCTAATCACCCAAGGGTTAGAGGGCCGCGGTTGAAATTGGACGCCGCACGCTGATTTGCCGTAGTCAGACTGATTCATTTCAGCCAGTAGTAGAGCTAGAAGGCCATCCCATTTGGTCAATTAGCTATAACCATTGTCAGTCAGAGCGTGGGGTGCGCCGAGTACACATCGCTCCCGTCGTCGGTCATCTCTGTGACGGCCGCCATCTCCCGCTGCCAATTGGAAAATTCGTGCTCTCCGCAGCGGCCGCAAATTCCGCTATTTTTTCGAGTGTCCGCCAATCAGAAAATTCGAGCTCTCCTGAACGGCCGAAATTTCGCGGCTATTTTTACTTTTTTCAAGTTTTTGCCGTGAAGACAGCTCTTTTACCAAGCCCCCGCCCGCCTTCCCTACCTCCGCGGCGATGTCCCACCGAGCGGAAGCTCTGCAGCGGACGGTCGACTAGGCCTAAGACACCCCGTGCGCCGCCGCTGACTGCGCCGCGGGCCCTACCGAGACCCTTCCCGCCGGCCAAGACCCTCAGCTGACTTACTCCCCAGATCATATGCGCAACGCCACTCAGCGCCTTACTCTGGACCCGGATAACCTAAAACCTGTGAGTTCATCTCAATCTCGCTCTCTTTCTCCCTCTCCTTCTGAATCTGAATCTTTTTCTTCCTCCCATTCTTACCAACCTAATACTATTGTTGACATTGAGGACTTTCCTTTGCCTACCATTTCCTTGGAGCCGCCACCTAATTTTGTGGCCTTTTCTAAATGTACTACTTCTAGCAATTGTTTTGATATTTTTGATTGGGCAGCCATCTCAATTAAGACTATCTCTAATTCCATTTCTGAATTTTCTGCTGAACTTGGTTCCTCAGTTCTTTCTGAACTTAAGGAAATTCTTTTACATCTTAGGGCCGACTATGAACGTTGTATCTCTGAATTGGATTTTTCCTCTGGACTCTTATTACAGATGGCTTCCCAATCAAAACAGCAGCAATTTGCCCACCCACATGTTGTTGTTGATGCCACCTCAGCCACTCTTGCTGAGCCTGGTATCTCTACCATAAGTACACTTGCCACCCCTGTTGACACTTCCGCTACTGCCGCTCCCCTTTCGTACTCTGCCATGGCCTCAAGCCGTCCTTCTGTGCAACCTGCTAGCTCAGCCCCCTCAGCTAGTCGGGGACCTGTCCCTACCCAACCAAAGACCACCCCATGTTTACTTTGACCAATAACCCGTTTCACCTTACTATCACACAGGACCCCAAGGAGGCTCAGCCTCTTAGCCTTAGGCTTTCTAATATGTCTTCTTTCTCCGCTTTGGGGGTTCCTGGGTCCCATATAAATACTTCCAGGTATAAAATTACCATACACACTAGGTCAAAAGAGGATTTTACTAAACTGCACCGTAAACTGGTGGACCTTACCAAAAATACAAATATCAAAATATCTACACCTCCCTCTTTCCACCATCGCTTCACCATCTTAATGTACTTGACATTACCAATGAGGAGGATCTTACCACCATGTTTGTCCGGTCGGTCGAATGTCAGGATACTGACTGCCGACTCATCCGAACTATCTCAGCGCGGAACGGTCGGGTCCATGCGGTGTTTGAGACCAAAAACATCGTTGCCACCGCTCTGGAGGGCAAAAAGAGAATCTATTTCGGATTCTCTTCTCTGTCCATTGACAGGACTAGGGCTACCTTCCCCTGCAGGTCCTGTGGTAGTCTCAGGCACAGGACCAATTCTTGTTCTGGCCCGGTGCGTTGCCTTCATTGTGGGCTTGCCCACAAGATTGCGGACTGTCCCACAACTGGTGCTAGCCCCAGTTGTTTCCGCTGCAAGCCGGATCAGAATGGTCACAGGGCAGACTCATTTGCCTGTCCGGTCATACGAATGGTGGAGGAGAGTTTCCATAACTTGGTTCAACACACATGCTAATCTCTTTTTTTGCAATTAAATTGCAATCGTTCATTTGCATGTTTCCATTCCATTCTCCAGGAAGCTTCTTCTAAAGCCGTAGATATCCTACTGCTGCAAGAACTTCCTGTTTCAAACAACCGACTTCCGTCTGCCCACCCTATTCCACCTTCCTCTATCTTGCATGCCCCCATTTCTAACAACAAATGCAGTGCGGCTATTGTGGTGCTGAACCAAGTACTACCGGTTCTACTCCTCCCTGCGGCGACTTTAATATTGAATCCTATAGATGGTCAAATAAAGCGCGGTTGCTTAAATACAAATGCTCTAAAAGAGAAATTGTCGAAAACTTCCTTGACGCTAACTTGCTCCACGTTGTCAACAAACACGGCACGATCACGTGGAAGGAGGGCGAGAGGTCCTCCTCCATCGACGTCACGTGTTGTTCTGCTGGCCTCGCGGAAGGGATCGCCGATTGGAATGCAATCAACCAGGCTTTATCTGACCATAAACGCCTCAAGTTTAACGTTAATTTTGAACCCCCCTCTTCTAACAGCAATAACGACATACACGTAAACAACTTTAGCGAAGTACACTTCAGCTTTGGTCGCGCCGACTGGGATTTTTTTCCTCACTTTAATAAAAAAATGTCTAGAATCTCCTCCTTACTGGACGCGAGTGACACAACTCAAGTTGATGAAGTAATTAATTTACTAGAAGACGAGGTGATTCACTCCTGTCTTCAAACCATTCCCTCTAAACTTTCCACCAATATTTTTTATTTTAAGAAACCCACTTGGTGGAAACCTGAACTAAATCCGCTCCAAAGGGCTACTCAAAAAGTTGAAAGGGCGTGGAGAAAAGCTTGTGAGCCTGTTAGAAGCGTGTTAAAGATATTTTATAAGAAATTATATAATAGATTTCGCACCTCTTTCAGACACGCGAAGCTTGTCCACCCGAGCATGTTCAACTCCCTGCTCGACCCTACCATCGGCGGGAATCTGGACCTTGGCAGTCGACCAGGGGTGAGCTCCTCCACCCTTCTTCACCCTACCTCATCCACACATGTACACACACCACTCCACCTACGCCAACCACCTCAACAACACTACACCCTTGACTCACCTCCACCCACATGTGACATGTTCCCAACCAACAACCCCTCACACCTCCTACATCTAAACTGGGTCTATCACATCCTTGCCCCTTATGCTGACTCTGTTGACCCCACCCTTGCTGATGGTTTCCGCTTTGCTCTAAAAAAAATTTCGCACACATCTCGAAAATACACCAACAACGCCTCCTCGAGGCCTACAACTCCACAAACCTCCTCACTCATCTCCTTGAACAAAAATTGCAAACATCCTCTCCCTGCCCACCTATGCCGAAGCTAAATAGGAATTTCTCTATAGTGCCCCTGGTCTCCTGTGCTCCTGTTCCCCAACGGTCCTACAAGGATACATCCTTGGACGCCCAGCCCCAATTCACCAAGAAACCAGACGAGGATAAAAATTATTTAATTCCCCGGATCTCTTGGACGGCCGCCAAACGCCATTTATCCTCCCGGATTTTTTCCGCCCGCAGCCAATCAAAATGCGGGATCTCCAGGGCGGCCGCACTCGGCCATTTAACACTTCCACGCCAACGAGCGTGAATCATCATTCACGTCCCTGGCCACCGAGCAGTGCACACCTACACTCTTGGATTACTCTTGGATATTCTCAACTATGAACGCGGCGGATTTTCTGAATGCTTCCCTGGCTCTACTGCTACCCTACTGGTTCTACTGCCCCCTACTAGCCATACCACTACCAACCTCCCAAAACTGAAGAATACAAGGTCACTACTGCCTTTTAGGCTCTCCCGGACGGCCGCCAAAGGTTTATTTTTATTTTATTTTTTTCTCTTTGTTAGTATCTAACCAAACATTCAACCTAGCCTCTTTAAAATATTGATACATTTTTTAGTCACACTAAAATTGTTTATACAACTGTTTACACATGCAACTAAGGAGCGGGTTATATACCGCCCTCAGTCAATCCCCCCTGTTTACCCTAAATACCCCTCAACTAACAACTATGGACAATATAAACGCTACGCCCACCCATAACACATACTGTACAACACCCATAAACCATCCTACCCACGTCTTATCTGAAGTTTTTAAATATCCTGAATTACCAGATACTGAACAACTCAATACCATGACTAACGATGACATAATAGATTGGGCTCGCAACACTAATATCATTATATTACAATCTATAAAATAAAAGAAGACAAGATACTTGTCTTCTTTTATTTTATAGATTGTAATATAATAGCTCTAATAAGAATCTCTTATTCTTACTAATATCATTCTGGGCAAAAACCTCCAGCATCACAAATGCGATAACACTATATTCGATCACACTGCAGCAGCGTGCGAAGGCATCATTAGAGCATTCAAACACACACTAACACATAGAAAACAAGAACTTCACTACACCAAAAAAGCATACGACGAGATTATGAACAAATATTTTTTACACAACAACAAATCACACACCCCCACTAACATCTCCGTCCCTACACCCAACACCAAAGAAAGAGTAAACGAACACACTAAACATGCCACCAACCTCTACAATCCTCTACAATGCATGGCGCCCTTTTGTTTTGACATTTATTTTTTTTTTAGACAGTGGTATTGTTTCCGCTAATCCAGAGCACCCCCCCCCCCCCCCCCCCGACCTCCACTTTGACCCCGGAGATTTGTCTTGCTCCCTCGCAAGCCAGAGCATTCCCCGACCTCCACTTTTGACCCCGGAGATTTGTCCTGCTCCCTCGCAAGCCCAAATCCCGTGGTCTTGGCGGGGAAGGACTGTAGAGGCCACTTCTGGGGCCTCCACAAAGAGGACTCCAAGAAAAGGACTTCGAGCATGCTTCTTTGTAAAAACCAGCCCATCTCTTCACCTCCTTTTTTTTTATTTCTAGTTTTTGTAAATAACTTATAGTACTACAATAAATTTTCTTTTTATTTAAATAAGCAGCTATTTTGGGTTTCCCTTTTTTTTTTAATATTTTAAAATTAATATTTCGAATAATAATTTTTATTATAGTTTTTTATTTTTTTTATTTTTAAAATTTCTTTTTTTCACAGAGGGTGACCAGATAAAGATTTTTTTTTTTTTTTTTTTTTTTGGTCACCCTGGGGAGAAGAGAGTTAGTGACGAGCAAGTTTTTGGTGAGGGCAGTTCTTCTTAGAGATAAGATAGTATAGGGAAGTTCGTTAAAAATGTAGTTCTACAAGATTTGGGGAGGGATTTCCAGCCTTCCAACAGAAGCACAAAGTTAGGTATTTTTTTTTTAATAATGATTTTTAATAGGTATATTCATGTAAAATTTCTCACAGCGTTTCCTCGTTGCCCGTTTTATTTATCTTTTTAATTTTATTCTTATCTTTATATGACCGTCAAAAGAGATAAATAAATATATTGTAGTATTAATCAAAAATCCATAGTTGCCTATGTCTTTTTTTTTTAACCCCAGTGCGCGCAGGATATTTGCAGGTTGTACCTTTTATGTAGCAGGATGCAAACTTTACGTGAACTCCCTGAGAGTAAAAGAGGCTCATGGATTTCGGGACGATAGCGCCAAAATAAATTCATCACCTGCACTACAACCCTGCTTTACAATCTTCAATATTCCAGAAGGCTACAACACAATAGAGCTGGAGGACAACCTCCGATGTTCTCTTACTGGGAAAAACCCCAAATGCAGGGTGGTCAAAACCATCCCTGCCAGGAACGGTAACACACACGCAATTTTCGAGACTGACGAGGCCACCTCAACCCAGCTACTGAAATTGAAAAAGATCCATTTCGGATATTCGATCCTACCCATCTCTAGATCCAGGGTCACCTTCCCATACATAACATGTGGTAGCCTGAGACATCGCCCTGAAAGGTGCGACGGCAAACCCAAATGTTTACATTGCGGCCTCCCACATGCAATATCAGATTGCCCCAACACCAACATCACCCCCTCCTGCTTCCGATGCAACTCCACCAACAACAAACACAGGGCGGACTCAATGTCCTGCCCTATCATCAAGGCTGCGGAGGACAGCTTAAATAGGCGCTTGATATGTTAAAATTTTTACAAATTAACTGCCGTCGTTCACCCCATTGACTTGCTTCTATCATTCACACTGCTAGTCTTGAGAAGGTTGATATAATCTTCATACAAGAACCCCCAGTATCAAAAGGAAAATTTCCAGGCAATTTTCCAGTTCCTCCATCATCCTTTCTTCACCATCCCATTAAAGGGAACAAACTGGGCTCCTGTATGATAATTTTAAATCAATCCTTGCCAATTCTTTTCTTACCCAACCTTTCATCTACAGATCGTACCGTTGCCATCCTTGACCTTCCAAACCTACACCTAACCCTTTGTTCTATCTATATCCGTCCCAAATCAGACTATAACTCAGTAACCACCTCCTTGACAAATCTTTTTCACTCCAATCCGCTACCTAACCTTATCTTCGCTGGTGACGTTAAAGCTGACTCCACCCGCTGGAGCAACCGTCCCCAACGAGGCAAAGGATCCCACCTTAACCTCCTTCTCGATTCCCTCGACCTCAAGGTTGTAACACCCATAGTACTATAACCTGGTCCAATGACAAACATTCTTCCTCCATAGACATCACATCCATCTCCTCTCATCTCCTCACCAATATCTCCGACTGGAAGGCAACGGATAACTGTTTCTCTGACCACTTCACCATCTCCTTTTCACTACAAACTCCTCTTGCACCACACCCCACCTTGCCAAAACACTCTCCATTACACCCCGCACCAAAATTCCATCTTAATTCTTACATTTCAAGCTCTCTATTTAGAAATCTTTCCCCTCTCCTCTCCCCTTCAGGGGACATCTACAAAAACCTCATCTCTAGCTCCTCACCCTCTGACCTAGACACGGTAATAGAAAAATTACACACCTCCATCTCCGACGCATGCACAGATAATCCTACTCAGATACCCAACAAACCTAGTCACCCTGCCCCAGCTACGGTGGTCACCATTTTTACAGCAGTTAAAAAGGGAAACAAAAAAACTTCGTAGATTATACAAATCCCTCAACCCCCCAACAGAGATCAGGTCCACAAAGATTTCCTCCATATGAGAGCTTGGTTTTACAGAGAATGCAAAAGAGCCAAAAGAAGGGAATTCAGAATGTTCAGCGGGTCCTTCGTAAACTACCCATGGGGAAGCCTACACAAATTCATTAAGAAAGGCTCCCAGAACCCAAACCCCCTCTCTTCCACCTCTTTTGAAAAGAACCTCCTCTCCCACTCAGTCCCGAAATACCTCAACTCCATACTAAATACCTTCTCCAATCCACCCCCAGATACTAGACCAGCACACTTCCACTATTCAACACCCTGTCATCATCCTATATCCCACCCTGACCCACCTTTTACTTCAGTCGAATCACGCATTGCATGCTCCTCCCTAAAACCCAGGAAAGCACCAGGCTCAGACCATATCCCTGGCAAATTTGCCAAGTGGATGGTCTCTTCATTCCATGACTTCTTTTTGCTCCTATACAATTCTTGCCTAACCCTCGGAGACTTCCCCATTGCTTGGAAAATAGGTAGACTCGCACTCGTCCCCAAACCGCACTCAGATGGTGATTTCACTTCTAGCCACCGCCCAAATACCCTTTTTTCTGCCTTCAGCAAAATATTTGAGTCTCCTCTGCCACCGTTTATCCCATCTACTTGAAAACAACAATCTTCCAGAACATCCAGAACTCCACTATTCCATGCGTCGAAGACATGACCATCCTAGGTGTAAATTTTAACTCTCGCTTCTCCTTCTCTCCTCACCTCAACAAAATTTGCGACAAAATCCTCAATCTCTTCCCCCGACTTCGCTCCTGTGCAAACAACTATTATGGTTTCGGTTATAGGGCTAGAAAATTATTTTACCACTCCGTTATTGAACCAATACTCTCATACGCAGCACCAATTGGGCTGAAGCAGCAGACACCATAGCAGGCGAAGCCGTCTACGTTCCACTCAGCGCAAATTCTGTATTCATGCAATACACGGATTTCGCTCAGTGCCCACCTTCACCTCGTTTGCCCTCTTACGAGTCCTACCTATTGACCATAAGCTAAAACTCCTCTCTTCCCTTTTCAAACCCTCCATTTCCCTCCCCTTTAAGGTTGAACACCCCCCCACCTCCTTATAGTTACCCGCAACCACACCTTCTCCGTGACCTCTCTCACCTCCCGATTCCGGAGTCCACCCCGGATATATCATACTACACTGATGGCTCCAAAACCTCTTCCGGTGTTGGCTCAGGAATATTTAGAATGTCATCCCTACCCTCCACCCCCTGCCTTGAATCTTCCCTATCCTTATCCAAACACTGCACAGTATTTCAGGCAGAAAGCTTTGCTTTACTTACAGCACTAAAAGACATCCGTACCATGGATCACAACCTGTCAATAGGCATTTTTTCAGATTGCCTATCCCTCTTATGCACCCTTTCAAGGCACAGATGCTTACACCCCATTGTCCACAAATGTCAGATACTATTATACGACCTACTTCCCACACGCAAAATAACACTCCACTGGGTAAGGGGACACTCTGGCATCGAGGGCAACTGCCGAGCCGATGCTCTAGCAAAGATAGGAGCAGCTACAAATCTCACTAACCCCAAATACAAACTGGCCTCGAAAAAAACAAAAATAAACTTCCTCTCATCCTAACAATGGGAAGCCTGGGAAAACAAATTTAAGACATCCAACCCCACTATACTCAGCAACCTTGGCATGACACCCATTTCCCTCAAAACCACCCACAAACATATAACACCTGACACAGCCATCACCACGGGTTTCATCACAGGCCACACTTGGATAGGTGCTAACAAACACAGTAAATCTAAACACGACAGTTCTTCATGTAGGCACTGCTGCGGACCACCCAAGACAACAGAACACATTTTCCTAGAATGTCCACCATTAGATAACCACAGATCCATACTATTCTCTAACTGTGTGAAACAAATAGGGTACATTCCCAACACTACCAAAATATTATTTTCCAACAAGAAAATATGGAAGTCAGTGCTCACCTTCGCACACAGCTGTGGTAGATTCTCACCCTCAAACAAACCGCCCCAGACTGACTCCGAAATAAGCACCTCAGAACCTGATTAGTCAGATACGAGCCCAATCTATAAAACCTCTCCTTACAACTCCCATTCTACACCTACATTTGAAAATCGCACTAGCTACAACAATCCACATCCATGACCTTTAACCCACTAACAGATTCCCCCCATACACCTTTTCAACATTGGCCTCCCCATATATAGTCATGCATATTCAACACCACCTATTAATGTTCCATGCACCAATCAACCATAGATACACCCTCACATACACTAAAACCAAAGGCCTAACCCAGCCTCACCTGGAGGTTGTCCACAAGTTGGTTGAAATATTACTATGAGAAGGTGTGTATAGCACAGGTAACATATATTATAGTTCTTACATGTTCTGATAGGTCAAAGATAGTTTTACTGCTCTATATTGGCTTATAAATAATGGACAAAATATGCCCTGTCCTTTCTCCTTTGGATTTAATGAGAGCTACCTGGTTTTTCTACTAATATGTAGACCCCCCCTAACACCACCTTCTTTCTGGACAAATGCTATGTTCCATTCTTGTATATTTTCACAATATGTGTGTGCACAGTTAAAATACATTCCTACAAGTTTTATCTAGGGAATCCTATTGGTGGTTTGGGCCTGTCGAAGAGCTCCAATAATCAAAGACATCTGCTAGATCAACGGGGCAAGCCACCTTTTGTGGACATAGCAGAGAAACTTCCTGACGTCCAATGAAAGAGAACTTGTAATAATCCTCACATTACACTCATGTCAGCCAGGAGCTTGACCTACCAGAGGACCAACCAACCCAACCTCAATGATGGACTATTGTTATTAGATGGTGGAACAACCCCTGATGGCATTCAGGGTTGATTAAATCCTGGGAAACCTTTCATAGGAACTCAATTGGCTGCTTGATGCAATTATTGGTGCAATATACCATAGAGTGCTTGTGTATCATTTTTTTTGCCAAATAAGTTCTGTAAAAAAAAAAAAAAAAGAGGGGTGTACATATGTAATAAAATATGAGCCAAGTTTAAAAATGGTGTGTAAGGCTCAGCGTAACAAGTTGCTAGAATGTCATATTAGGACTGTGGCCTGGCGGTGTGAATATTGACAGTGCTTCTTGTCACTCACAATGAATCATCACTCAGTAGGAAGCTACTGCATAGGAACTCTATTGGCTGCTTGCTGAAATTATTGATGCAATATACCATAGGTTGGATCTGACCTTCAAAACCCTCTCTGGGATAAGTGAAGGTGAGGGAGGGGACCTTGGTAGCAGTCTTGTTTCCTTGGCAGGAGTTCCATGTGAAGGCTCCATAGTAGTGCTGCAACAAACAGGTCCTGGCAATGATTGTTGGAATCCAGTATAAAGGAATGTTTCACATTATTAGGGATCATTTCTGCAGTCTCAAATATCAGGAGTCACAATTATCAGGCGAAACAAATATAATCATGATTGGGTGACAGAAGAAGACATAATTAGTCCTAATTATCTGGTGTCACAATTATCATATATCCCAATTATCAGCAGTTTCAATTATCATCTTATTTGCCCTTTACACAGAATCATCTGGGTCTCCAAAAACAACCTCTCTGATGCAGAACTCTCTCTGAATGAAGCCATGAAAAATCTGCAAAAGATAACAGAGAAACTGAAATTATTAATAAACATCAGCAAATCTGAAATTGGCCTCTTCACCATCAACAACCACCTTCGCCAGTGGACCCCAAATATTTCATTGAACAACTCAATAATCCAATATTCCAGTTCCCCAAGATATCTTGGTGTCACTTGACCCTGCTCTGACTTTTAAAAAACATAGTGACACCATGATAAAACAAAGCCGATTCACAATCCTGAATAAAATATCAAGCTTAACTGAGGTGCAAATGCCAATATCTTACGCACAACGTACCTTGCACTTGTAAGACCTATTTTGGAATATGCTACACCAGCCTGGATCAATGCAAGTAAAACCAATATATCCAGAATCCAAGCGCAGCTCAAATCATCAGGGGGCTTCAAGGATCTTGCCCAAATCGCATTGCTGAACTCAAATACAACCTTCTTTCCCTGCAACTAAGGAGAAAAATCTGCTTTTCAAAATTCATAACCAAAAACTCTCCAGAAGAACATCTTATAGGAAAATTTTTAGAAATTGGGTCCCAAATCAAAGACTAAAACACCCAACTCCTCTCAACATGGCTCACAACTCTAAATCTCTTAGACATCCCAATTAATCCCAAACCCAGAACTTCCTATCCCCCACACAGAACTCAACAAACTCATCTGTTTCCCTCATCTACCAGCCAATCCCCACAAACATGAAACTCAGCCAGAATTACTTGAAGCTCTTGGCCTCCAAATCATTGAGGAAAATAGCTCCCTCTTCGACATCACAATTTACACTGACGGTAGCCAACTTGAAACTGGACTGTCTGGAATTGCTATCAACAAAGATAAGAATCTGGAAAAAATTTCCCCTTTCTACCCTAGACACCTTTCAGTTTATAAATTGGGACTCTCAAGAAATTCCCACTAGATATTATAACAAATGGTTATGAGATAAGAAAGAAGACAAATGGTTATGAGATAAGAAAGAAGAAGACAAATGGTTATGAGATAAGAAAGAAGAAGACAAATGGTTAGAGACACATGACATTGTGATAACAAAAGGTTAGAAATGAGAGCAATAAAAAGAAACTTGCCATCAGACTTTCTCGCTGATGCTCTAGCTCCCACATCTGGGTGGAATCTGCCAGTTGTCCAGGCCTGGCAAACTTATGTATCCTCCACCATTGATGGAAGTCTGGAACCACAGAATTGGTTTCACTGAACAGTCTTCTAGTTGGGGTGAGTAAAATATCAAAGGTAACAATAGAGTGTAGGTACAAACAACATTTGTCTACAAAGGCCCAAATTGCCACTTGTATTGGTGTCTCCACATTGGCTCTGCAACTTCAGAAAGAGGTTTGATGTGGTGTTGAAATAAAAGTTATTATAAAAGTATAGATATTATCTTGCGCTACAACACTCAAAGTTCTCAGTGTTACATGTTCCCATGCAATTTTTATATATTTTTAATATATTGGTGAAATTTCTTGCAACCTTTGGTTTATATATGACAATGTTATAAATCTGGTTTCCTGGTTTTGCACTCTGAATCAAACAAAGTATTATTTTGATATTTTTTATTGATGTCTTCTATTATTCTATCTATCAATTTGATCTTCCTTGAGTACAAAACTCCAAGACATATTTATCCGTAGGTTCCTGAATCTGCCCAGATACACTCCAGGCTACATAATCAGATTAGAAACCGGTCATATCTCATTGAGTGTAACAGCTTTAAAATTAACCCTGAAATATTGGCTGCGTGTGTTGAATATGAGCAGTGACAGATTGTCGCGTATGTTTTAAAACAACACGGGAACTGTCTAATGCTTCAGGCACACCCATCGGTTTCATTAAAAAGCTTACCAATCTGCTTAACAATAATGGATCCCCTGCACTTGTTTCCTGTGATGATCCTGAAACGCTGAGGAGCGCGATTACAGGGCTCTTAAAAACAGCGGCAGACCAATCTATACAAAATGACCTTACAAGAATGGATAAATCTAAGCTATACTCTCACTACAAAGACATTCACATATCTTTCATGACGGAGGGATACCTTTGAGGGAATTTTCCTTTCCCGGTTGTGAGACTACTTGCACAAGTTAGAATACTTTCAAGTTTTTTTAGAGAAAACCACACCAAGATGCTCTGCGGTGAGGACCCGATTTGTGCCTTCTGTAATTCAAAACTAAAAAATGAAATCACTCACTATATTTTTGATTGCTCTGCTCTGAAAGAAGAACCCATATGCTCAAAACTGGCAACTCTGTGCTTCACTCCCAGCAATAATTGACAATATGACCCAGAATAAGTATATTTCTACGGCGTTTTATGGTTTCCACAAGTCCATATCTAAGAAGAAGGCCAAGTGACACTCACTCCTCACTTTCTTACTGCTACTTTTTTGTGTTGTTTTTTCTTGCTTCCCTCTTTCTCTTTTTTTTCTTCTGTTTATATTGGTGTTTCCTTTGTCTCACTGCTTTGTTCTTATGCATACCTCTGGTGAATCCTGTATAGGGTCAGTGACCCTTAATAAAGGCTTTTTGTTGTTGTTGAGTACAAAACTCCTATATATTTTGGATTGAAATGGAACTATAGTTCCAATACATTCCTGTCAGTATATAGAGGTGGCAATAATGTTAAGTTCATGTCCAGGATTTGTTGTTATCTACTTCCATGGAGTAATTGAAACATTGAAGGTATCTACAACAACAACAACAAAAGCCTTTATTAAGGGCACTCGCCCTATACAGGATTCGCCAGTTCACAAGGGATAGGGAGAACACTGAGGCCTTTTTCCGGGATATAGTCTTATGGAATCCAAATATCACCATCGCTATATACCTATTCTTTGATATTTCATTAATCAGTGCCGGAAATGAAGGACAAAGTTGCCCCGTTTTATCATTTAGTTTTCGTCTTTCCTCAGACAGAGCAGCACAGTCAAATAAGTAATGCAACATCTCCGTTGTTATTCCTGATCCACAGAAAGTGCATTTCAGGTCTTCACGCCTCAATAAAATCAAATGGTGTTCTCTGAAAAAAATTGAAAGGGTTCTAAATTGTGCAATTAATCTGATGATAGGAAAAGGGAGTTCAGTTAAGAAGTATTCTTCGGTGGTAAACGTTGTATATATGCCTCTATAGTGGGAATATAACTTTGATTGGGTTATTCTTGTTAGGTCGTTTTGTATTGTTTGCTCTATCGCAGTTCTTAATATTCCAGGGATAGCATTCCTTAGTGAATCAGGATCATTACAATAAGTAAGCCACGAGGATCCCTTATTATTAAGTAAATTGCTTAATTGTTTTATAAAACCGATGGGCGCACCTGTAGCACAGGATACTTGCCTCATTCTAGTTAAACATATTTGAGGCAATCTATTTGTATCCATACTAAGCACCCTCAGCCAATATTTCAAGGTCAATTTCAGAGCTGTTATTATTAATGAGACGCGGCCTGTTTCTGGTCTTATTATGTATCCTGGTGTATATCTAGGCAAATTCAAAAACCTACGAATAAATGTATCTTGTATATGGTCTAATAAATCTTTATACTCTGTTGCCCAAATTGGAGCAGCATACATCAAAACAGCCATCACAATTGAGTCAAACAGTTTCATTGCAGAGTTTAGTGAATTAATTTTTGATTTTGCCAATATTGGGGTTGTAGCATTTATTGCCGCAAGTGCTTTTCCTTTGAAAAAGTTTGTGGCTGAGTGGTTTTAGTTGTACTGACCAGAGGGTATCCCAAGTAATTATATCTTCTTGTCACCATCAGAGGTTTACCATTCCAGTACCATCTATCTTCTCTTGAGGGTTTACCACCATTGCGAAATACCATAACCTTCGATTTGGGCTCGTTCAGTGTCATATAGTTCACACCAAGATATTCTTTCA